GAAAAATCATGTTTGTTGTTAACTTTTTTTTATTGTCAAGTCCAAAAAATGTATATAGTCGTCCTGCTGTTCCATCTCCGTTGGGAATGTGATAGAAGGGTGGAGAGAGTTGATGAACTTCAAAAGGTTTGTCAACTGTCTGTTCGTTTCTGTGAAACATACCAGGATATCATCCATATATCTATACCAATACACAAAACTTCTTACTAGTGGGTTAATGTGTATTCTTCTCTACAAATCTTCCATGAAAATCTCTGCCAGAATAGGACTAAGTGGGTTTCCCATTATAATGGCACTCTCACATTTCAGGTATTTAGAAATTTCAAAGCCAAATATTGAACCCCTTGTTGATGAATTGCCACTAATGGAGCTCATAAAAATATGTTTTCAACAAGACCAGACTTCGCCTCACAACACTGCCAATTTTTTGGCTGCAAATTTTGATAATTGGTCCCAACCGTTGGCCGGTCAGGTCACCGGATCTAACGCCTATAGACTTTTACCTCTGGGAAAGGTTGAACGATCATATATTTAAATTGCCGACCAATTCTAAATACGAATTGGAAGCGGCAGTGTTGCAAAGTGTTGCTTCTTTCTCTCCTATTGAACTAATTATTTCTTCTTTCACTCCTATTGAACTGATTATTTCTACAAAGAACTTTCAGAAAAAATGCATCCTGTGTGTAGGAGAAGCTGGTAGACATTTCGAACATTTTCTCTGAAGAAATGTATTTCATTATTTGTTCTTTATCAGTATTACTATTATTGTTGAATTTTCATTTATTAGTAGTAAATATAGTATAAATTGTTATCAGTAATTTTAGGATCTATTGAAGTATGCAGAAATATACAGGCTGTCTCATTGAAAAAATAGTTTTCCACCAATAACTATTGATATCTCATTTGAATGAATAAGTTTTTTACACCATTGAATTCTACGTAAACAAGAGCTTTGGAAATGTTTTCATAAAAACAAGAAATTTTTGACAGGAAAACAGTTAAAGCAAATTTTCGAAAATGCACATTTTCTAGAAACAGAAACGATGATAGATATAGATATGCGGTTTTCACCATTAAGTTTATCATAAAATTTGCCCCTCAGACACAGCCATCAGTTTTCATCTATCTAGTTTGAAAACGGGAGTTTCCCTTTGGAAGTGTCCAATTTGGCCCACTCTGTACCATGACTCCGAGGCACAAGATAAGTTCTAGCCTTTGTTTAAAATCTATGATCCTCAAACAGTTCACTAAATGAACTTACTTGGTATCCATGCTTTTTTTTAATTATCTGAACAGTATTCTTACTAATTCCAGTTTCTATTGCCAACACTAGAACTAAAACACGTGGCTTTAATATATGTCAGAACATTAATTTCATTTACTGCACTTCTAGCTGGTGCTCGGTGTTTGACACGTTTCTGGGTTGGAAAAGATCCAGAACGTATTTTCTTTTTCACTTCACAAAAAATTACATGTGATGGCAGATAATAAGGAAAACGTTCAGGATAAAACCGTCCTGAGGACTATACTAGCTCCCTATGAGAAACATGTTTCACATATTCGGTTTCATAGATCAGAGAAGTCTAGTGTCGCTCAGCATGCCTTAGAGAATGGCCACGGAGTAAGTGAGGAATGCTAGAAGTGTTTGACCACGGCACATGACAACAGATGCTTTCGAAAGTTCAGAAATAAAAAATGTGGAATAAGATCTATAAACAGCGACAAAGATTCCATTTTTAAGAGCTTGCTGCTGTGGAAAAAGGGTTTTTAATGTATTCATTTTACGCTAAACATTTCAAATCCGCTTGACGTGAAAAAATGTTCTCAATAAAGTTGAGGTTATTCTATAAAGCACTTGACATTATTTTAGATGAGAAAATCTATAATGTACTTGAAAATTGTTAGCATTCATTCATCTTGGGAATATCTTATAAGAATGAAACACCTACCTACTTACTCGTGTGATCAGTGTTTCCATGTTACCCTCATGATTATAAATATTATAAACCCTACTACTTGACATGAATTCATTGGATTCGTGAACTCATACTATTGAAAAAGACTAAAACTGTCGGAAGAAATCAGTCTGATGAAAACCCGTTAACAAAGAAAATCTAGTTACTATTTTGCATTTTCTGGTGCTTATACAGGGCTATTCAAATTCGTTTCTGTACATGGGAATCTCATAAACGATAAGAGATAGAGTGTCGGTTAAATTGTTACAAAGTAGCGTATTTTAGAGACCTATTCAATGATGTAAATAAATCGAATATAGCTTTTTTGGTTCTGGAGATATACAGGAAAAACCAAAAAAATCCCAAATTATTTTTTTGTCTATATCTTCTTTATTTGCAGACATATTGAAAATCTGTCCACATTGGCACTTGATGTGGGCTATCAGAATATATCCATGAATCTTTTATACAGGGTGTCATCTAACTTGGGCCACCCCTCATCTTTGAATTTTTAAATACAGACATGTATTTTTTGTTGTAGTTTTTGTATCGTCGACGTTTACTTCATACTGAGAAATTAAATTCAATTTTATATTTCGGGATGTTTCGGTAATACTTGATTATTATTGTGTGAATTATAACCTTTTAAATTACGGCCCTGGAAATTGGTTGACTGAGTTGAATAAAAACAAGATAGCAACTTTCATGTCCCCCTATATACCGTAGAGTTTTTCGAGAGAATTATAGTGTTTGTTTCGGATGTTATTATTGCTATCATTTCTTTTTCTGCTCATCAAAACACATATAATATATTTTTGTTGTAGATATGTTTCAGATAATCATAAAAGGTTTTCTTATTCGAAGTTCATTGTAAAGAAAGCTCAGGGCAATGGAAATATGAAAAAATATGAATAGGTACCTAAAAATGAAAAAAAAGTCTCTAAAAACTCTACGGTACATAGGGAGACGTGAAAGTTGCTATTGTGTTTTTATTCAACTCAGTCAGCCAATTTCAAAAGAGAATAATTCACACAATTATACATAATCAAATATTACCGAAACATCCCGAAATATAAAATTGAATTCAATTCCTCAGTATGAAGTAAACGTCGACGATGCAAAAAACTACAAAAAACTACAAAAAATACAGGTCCGTATTTAAAAATTCAAAGATGGGGGTGGCCCAAGTTAGATGACACCCTGTATAAAAGATTCATGGATATATTCTGATAGCCCACATCAAGTGCCAATGTCAAAATGTGGACAGATTTTCAATATGTCTGCGAATAATAAAGATATAGACAAAAAAATAATTTGGGACCTTTGGTTTTTCCTGTATATTTCCAGAACCAAAAGAGCTATATTCGATTTTTTTTACATCATTGAATAGGTCTCTAAAATACGCAACTTTGCCACGATTTAACCGACACTGTATCTCTTATCGTTTACGAGATCGCCATGTAAAGAAACAAATTTGAATAGCCCTGTATATTACCTTCTGACCCTTGATTCAGAAAGAACTCAGAAGTTGTCTAAACCAATTAGTCATTAACAGGCTTCACATTGACACAAACACTTTTGTGTGTATTTGATTGTCATGTATTATTATGTGTATATTAATGAAAGAGTTACATTACAAAAAAAAGAATTATTGAATAATTGATTATGAATTTGGAGTTAAAATTTCAAATTGGAAAGTTCAGGAATAGTGATGATTTTTTGATCACATGTTGAGAATATTGTCAAATGATCAATAATTTTTAAGAAATATCTATTGAATTTCATGAACATTTATTTCTAGATGTTTAAAATGTTTCGGAATGTAGGTATGAATTTAGTTTTATTGACGTTTAGGGTGTTCTGTATTTCAAATAATTTAGCATCAGGTTCAGTGAGATACCTTGAATTCCGTAGTTTTCTAATTTTTCTCAAAAGAATGTTATGTGAGACCGTACTACAGGCCTTAGCAAGGTCAAGGAAACGGCCAGACATTTTGATGATTCATCTAAAGCTCGCACTGTTTTTTCGAGGAAATCAGCTTTGGCGTTTTCAGTATTAGATTGTTTAATGAAACTGTAGTGTCTGTCGGTTATAATTTTGTTCATGTTAAAAAAATCGTTTTTCAAAGCATGTTTAAATATTTTAGCAAAATTGTTGATGTCAGAAATGGGTCTGTAGTTATGAGAGTGGTGTCTCCTGTTTTAAAGATAGGGTTTACAACAGATTCTTTCCATTATAGTGGTATTATAGATGTTTCGAAGCAGAGATTAATTATATATTGTAGGGGTGTTGTAATATGGTTCTGTATATGTTTAATAGTTCTGGCTGTAATTTTATTGTTAGCTGTTTTTTTTTTTAATTTTGATAGGATAATTATTTCATTTATAACTGGTTGTAAGTATAATGATGAGTGTTTCTTTTCGGATTTATTTGGTGGTTAAATCGTGTGAGCTGATTTGTTTGACATTTTGTATCTGTGTTCTGTGAAAAATTTATTAAATTTGTTGCTTTTGTCTTAGTATCTTTTACGTGCATATTTTGGTCATCAACAATTATTGTATTTTCGATGTGTGTTTTTTTGTTTTTTCTAGATGCATCGTTTATTACACTCCAGAGTTTTTTTTTAGTCCTCATTTGCCTATTTTTTTCTGATAGTATTCATTTTTAGTTTTTATAATTATTTGATTGAGTCTATTTTTGTGGTTTTTATATTTGACCTCTAAATCTTGTATGTTTTAATTACTTGATGTTTAAGATTATTTCTTTATAGGTGATCCACGTATTGATTTTCTTTATTTAATGTATTGATATTTTTTTAATTTTAGTTGTCTTATCTATGTTAGTTTTTAGTTTGTCAATGAAACAGTTACACAGATTAAAGTGAGAAAATAAAATAAATAGAATAAAAAGCCTATTGCTGTGTATATGTTTTTTTTTTTCAAATCTTTGCCATCTTTATATTTAATTGCAATTATCTATCATGTATTTTTATAAAGTGGAACTGAAATATCACTAGATACTTCATTCATCTTTAATCAATTTCAGAGATATGGTGTGTAGTGTTGCTGGCATAACATCTGATGCCAATGTTTTAACTAATGAATTGCGTTTGATTGGACAGCGATATTTATTCCAGTATGGAGAATCTATCCCTTGTGAACAGTTAGTATCATGGTTATGTGATGTCAAACAGGCCTACACTCAATATGGAGGTAAGTAAATGTTGATTTTATTGACACATATGCACATATCCTTTAATTTTCAGGAAAACGTCCATTTGGTGTTTCAATATTATATATGGGGTGGGATAAACATTATGGATATCAGCTCTATCAATCTGATCCCAGTGGCAATTATAGTGGTTGGAAAGCAACTTGTATTGGAAACAATAGTTCGGTAAGTATAGTTCACATTTTGAATCTATTTCAATAAATTGATGGATGTAGCCGTTATTCGTGGTAGGAGATCATCATGACAAATGAGAATTTTCACTTCATATATTTTTTTATACCACTTGTATTTGTTACTAACAATACTGCAGTTTCGTCCTACAAGGACATTTTCAAATGAATACAATAAACTCAATAACTAAATAAACTCAGTTTATTGTATTCATTTGAAAATGTCCTTGTACGACGAAACTGCAGTAACATTAGTTACATATGAAGTTTTGATTCTCATTTTTCAGGAAAATCTATTTCATTATGTTTTCCACACTTGAACTGCGAAGCGCAAGTTTCCGCTTCGGTAATTTTGTAATATTCTCTATTAGCCAATTTTTCACAACCTGTACCATTTTGATTGAACTTTTTATTATGTACACCTTGAAAAAAATCAATTGCATAATACATGTGTGATTCAATTGAAATCTGGCATGAAGATTTTGCAGCTTCTTCAGATATATAAGCCTAATGGCATATTACTTATATGTTCGTTGAATTTCAAACTGTCGTCAGAGTGAAAAGCTAAGAATTTCGTTCGGGTAAAATTCTTGAGATTATTTGAAATACACTGCTTCTGGAAGTGAGCGGCTCTGTCTGGACTCTATCCTCATCGGATGTTATGGTGAAGTGAGTCCTCCAGAGTGGTATTAGCTCAAGGTATCTCACTATTTTTTCATGTACAGCAAATCATACGAGCCAATGCAGAATAAGGTCCATGCGATGTTAAATCAAATGCCTTTGGGTAATCGATCCAGGACAACAATCTCAACAGAGTGGTCTGGATAGAGTCTGAGTAGTTCGAAGAGAAAATCTTGATATTCTATCCGTTTTTACTCTTCTTTCAGAACGATATTCGTCTCATCGAGAGCTGAAAACACCACGATGTATATCATCTTGCTCTGACGGTCGAGAAGAACGACATCACGCTTATTAGCTTCAACGTATTCAAAAAACACTTTATTGTGAGATTTAAAATCCTTATTTAAAATTTCGAAATTGGGGTGTCCCAAGTCTTGTATCAAAATTCTATAATCATATTCTGATATTCCAGTAAAAGTTTCAATGACAGAGGGTAAACAAAGATACAGCAAAAAATAGAATTTTGAAATTATCAGTTTTCCCATATATTTTTAGAATCAAAAGAGTAAAAGTAAAGTAAAATTCCATAATAGTAGACACTAAATTCTCAGAAATATTGCATTAAAACGAAAATACTGTTGTCAGGTTGTGATTCTATATATTTTATCATCTTCATTTAAATCATACACACGCAGGTAAATGGTCATAGAACCACAGACAACGTGTTTTATTCACTAAAGAAACTTCCTGCTAATGAAATGTGTAACATGAGTTGAATAATACATAGAGTAAATATCAATTTATTTCTTTGATCTGTTATTTATTATTTTATTTATTTATTTTTTTTTAATGTTTCGGAATGTAGGTATGAATTTAGTTTTATTGACGTTT